CAATGATGTGCATATTGCCGGGTTTGGTCGCGAAATTAGGGGCAATACTTAGAAAGGGCCTCTTTGGGGCCCTCTTTGGGCCCCTTCCTTTGGATTCCCCGGTAGGTTTCTTCAGCCAGATTAAAGAGGGGGCCCAGGAGAGTGTCTGTGCAAATTTTGAAGAAAATCGTAGGGGCCGCCCCATTGGGCCCCAAATTTTAATTGGGTCCCGTGGGCCCCAGGTGGGCCCCATCGAAAAATGTTACTTGGGTTTTTTGTTTGGGAAATTACGCTCTTTCCAATGATGTGCATATTGCCGGGGTTGGTCGCGAAATTAGGGGCAATACTTTGAAAGGGCCTCTTTGGGGCCCTCTTTGGGCCCCTTCCTTTGGATTCCCCGGTAGGTTTCTTCAGCCAGATTGAAGAGGGGGCCCAGGAGAGTGTCTGTGCACATTTTGAAGAAAATCGTAGGGGCCGCCCCATTGGGCCCCAAATTTCAATTGGGTCCCGTGGGCCCCAGGTGGGCCCCATCGAAAAATGTTACTTGGGTTTTTTGTTTGGGAAATTACGCTCTTTCCAATGATGTGCATATTGCCGGGGTTGGTCGCGAAATTAGGGGCAATACTTAGAAAGGGCCTCTTTGGGGCCCTCTTTGGGCCCCTTCCTTTGGATTCCCCGGTAGGTTTCTTCAGCCAGATTGAAGAGGGGGCCCAGGAGAGTGTCTGTGCAAATTTTGAAGAAAATCGTAGGGGCCACCCCATTGGGCCCCAAATTTCAATTGGGTCCCGTGGGCCCCAGGTGGGCCCCATCGAAAAATGTTACTTGGGTTTTTTGTTTGGGAAATTACGCTCTTTCCAATGATGTGCATATTGCCGGGGTTGGTCGCGAAATTAGGGGCAATACTTAGAAAGGGCCTCTTTTGGGCCCTCTTTGGGCCCCTTCCTTTGGATTCCCTGGTAGGTTTCTTCAGCCAGATTGAAGAGGGGGCCCAGGAGAGTGTCTGTGCAAATTTTGAAGAAAATCGTAGGGGCCGCCCCATTTGGCCCCAAATTTCAATTGGGTCCCGTGGGCCCCAGGTGGGCCCCATCGAAAAATTTTACTTGGGTTTTTTGTTTGAGAAATTACGCTCTTTCCAATGATGTGCATATTGCCGGGGTTGGTCGCGAAATTAGGGGCAATACTTAGAAAGGGCCTCTTTGGGGCCCTCTTTGGGCCCCTTCCTTTGGATTCCCCGGTAGGTTTCTTCAGCCAGATTAAAGAGGGGGCCCAGGAGAGTGTCTGTGCAAATTTTGAAGAAAATCGTAGGGGCCGCCCCATTGGGCCCCAAATTTCAATTGGGTCCCGTGGGCCCCAGGTGGGCCCCATCGAAAAATGTTACTTGGGTTTTTTGTTTGGGAAATTACGCTCTTTCTAATGATGTGCATATTGCCGGGGTTGGTCGCGAAATTAGGGGCAATACTTAGAAAGGGCCTCTTTGGGGCCCTCTTTGGGCCCCTTCCTTTGGATTCCCCGGTAGGTTTCTTCAGCCAGATTGAAGAGGGGGCCCAGGAGAGTGTCTGTGCAAATTTTGAAGAAAATCGTAGGGGCCGCCCCATTGGGCCCCAAATTTCAATTGGGTCCCGTGGGCCCCAGGTGGGCCCCATCGAAAAATGTTACTTGGGTTTTTTGTTTGGGAAATTACGCTCTTTCCAATGATGTGCATATTGCCGGGGTTGGTCGCGAAATTAGGGGCAATACTTAGAAAGGGCCTCTTTGGGGCCCTCTTTGGGCCCCTTCCTTTGGATTCCCCGGTAGGTTTCTTCAGCCAGATTAAAGAGGGGGCCCAGGAGAGTGTCTGTGCAAATTTTGAAGAAAATCGTAGGGGCCGCCCCATTGGGCCCCAAATTTCAATTGGGTCCCGTGGGCCCCAGGTGGGCCCCATCGAAAAATGTTACTTGGGTTTTTTGTTTGGGAAATTACGGTCTTTCCAATGATGTGCATATTGCCGGGGTTGGTCGCGAAATTAGGGGCAATACTTAGAAAGGGCCTCTTTGGGGCCCTCTTTGGGCCCCTTCCTTTGGATTCCCCGGTAGGTTTCTTCAGCCAGATTGAAGAGGGGGCCCAGGAGAGTGTCTGTGCAAATTTTGAAGAAAATCGTAGGGGCCGCCCCATTGGGCCCCAAATTTCAATTGGGTCCCGTGGGCCCCAGGTGGGCCCCATCGAAAAATGTTACTTGGGTTTTTTGTTTGGGAAATTACGCTCTTTCCAATGATGTGCATATTGCCGGGGTTGGTCCCGAAATTAGGGGCAATACTTAGAAAGGGCCTCTTTGGGGCCCTCTTTGGGCCCCTTCCTTTGGATTCCCCGGTAGGTTTCTCCAGCCAGATTAAAGAGGGGGCCCAGGAGAGTGTCTGTGCAAATTTTGAAGAAAATCGTAGGGGCCGCCCCATTGGGCCCCAAATTTCAATTGGGTCCCGTGGGCCCCAGGTGGGCCCCATCGAAAAATGTTACTTGGGTTTTTTGTTTGGGAAATTACGCTCTTTCCAATGATGTGCATATTGCCGGGGTTGGTCGCGAAATTAGGGGCAATACTTAGAAAGGGCCTCTTTGGGGCCCTCTTTGGGCCCCTTCCTTTGGATTCCCTGGTAGGTTTCTTCAGCCAGATTGAAGAGGGGGCCCAGGAGAGTGTCTGTGCAAATTTTGAAGAAAATCGTAGGGGCCGCCCCATTGGGCCCCAAATTTCAATTGGGTCCCGTGGGCCCCAGGTGGGCCCCATCGAAAAATGTTACTTGGGTTTTTTGTTTGGGAAATTACGCTCTTTCTAATGATGTGCATATTGCTGGATTTTGTCGATGTTATAGGCCTGAAATTGTTGAAAACGTTTATTTATGCCCCGAGGGCATACTCCCGGGCCCATATATTTGAAGCTGTTTTGTTCGGTTCAGGGGGGCGCTAGCCCCCTAAATTTGGTACCGTTGCACGTAAAATTTTGTCCTCTTTCGAATGACGTGCATTTTTAGCTGTTTTGACGGCTAGAAGTAGGGTTTTCAAAGTTCGTCGATTGTGCCCTGAGGGCATACTGTTTTTTGGGATTTGTGGCCCCCCTGATGGATTCCCCGCATTTTGGCACTAGGATTTTCGATAGAGGACACCATTCTGCACCTCTCCACCAAAATTCAGCGAAATCGTAGGGGCCGTCGATCCCTGCTGAATCCCTGCTGAACCCCTGCTGAATCCCTGCTAACTTCCGTTACATGCTGATAACTCATTCCCGTACGTCGTATGGTCGTAACACTATAATGACCTTTGCTTATTGTCACAAGTGCGCCGCATTCGCGATTGTTGCCCGACGCCTGTTTGCAGGTGAGCCCACTACAGTTGTTATACATATCTAAAAACCGATAAACTTTTAGGCGAAAAAGGCACTATTCCAGGCCCATTTTTGATTTTTTTGCGATATTAGGTAAAAACAGAAGCTTCTTATCCTAGGAAAAATAAAAGGGGAAATCTTTCAAAGGTGGCACACTACCTTTAATTGGAGTAGACTATGTGTCCTGAAACTACGGTGTAACTCTCCCCACCGATTCGTGAATCGCTTTTAAAAGGAAATGTATGGTTTGATCACTGGATCGTTTTTCACTTTTGAACACTTCATCGATTATTTATGAATTTTGAAATGAACTGAACTCATAGACTGTGATTTATGGCTGTGATTGGTTGTAGGCAGAGACTTCGAATGAAATGAAAACTTGGTACACAGATGGTTACATAGTATTTACAAATTTGCATTGCATGCAACACATAAAATGTGACATTTGTTGATCGCAAATTATTGAATGTTTTTTTTTTTTGTATGAATAACAGAAGCGGGAAAGAAAATTTGCCGAGAGTATCAAACAAATATAGTAGGTAAACATTAAATAGTTAGTCATGATCAATGTGATTTGGACACGATTTGTTTGTCCCGTACGGGGTTATTACTTGCTTCCCGTACGGGAAAAAACGGACAAGGCAGTAAGGCCATTGCCAAATCGGAGAACGGCTGGGGCTCGCACGGGGAAAGGGCGGTCTTATTGCTGAAATGTTCGATTACCCCCTACGGGGAACTGACCCTAATAACGGGTTTTAAGTTTAACCATGGTTGGCGCGGGAGTAGCTTGGTGAGCTTTTGGGAACGCTTGGGTAGTTAAACCGTTTCCCCGTGCGAATCACGCGCCAAGTTCCCCGTACAAAGTGTCTCAAATCCCCAGCTAACGCTCCGTTTTCCCCAGGCGAACTGTCTGCCCTAGATTCCCTGAGTCTGCCCCAAGCCCGCCATAGATAGGCCTTTCCCCGTACGGGGAAAGCTTCGATTTCCTGGCTAGGTATATATTTTGTATTACACATTTTATCATCATTAAATAAAATGTTGATAATTAACCGAGTAAAAGGTAAAAATGAAACAAAATGAACCGGCATGAACCAGCAATACTCGTGCACATCATTCCGTCACGTCATAATTTCTCAATCAATTTAATTCCCGTCTTTCCTACTCCGTAGTATCCAAACAGAAAAGATACTAACAAACGCATAAGAGTGGTGCATAGAAATAGGTTAGAAACCTCGAAAATTGAAAATGCTTCTGTCAATTTTTGACTATTATAGGTACCAGTCATTCTTCAAACTGCCGATCACTGAATGAGTAGTGAAGTCAGGGTCTTGAGTCGGCAGCGTTTTATGAAATGATAGTCTTCGAAAATCAACTGTGATAATGTTTTTTGCCTGACCATGTGGTTTACAGTGGCTTCGAGTTACCCACTTTACTCAATAACGCAGTCAGTCACTTAAGTAACTTGTCAAACATCAACCAGCCCCTCCCCAAGCACATCACTACTAGTCTATGAATAACGCATTATGCATACTTACAACCACGGCGCTTGTTTACAAACATGTCGCACAAACCAACGCTGACGAATGATAGCCAAATATAATGCATAAGTAGCCGTAATAAGTGTCAGCTAAGCATTATTTACGGTTTTTACTGTTCTAGGCGTTCTAGCATTATGCGCCGCGCCGCCGTACGTTTCGAGTAGAATTAAAACGCTAAAGCCTACAAGAGTCTCCTTCATTTTTTTTATAGGAAGCCATGGAAGCAGTCATTGAAGCCAGCCATATATTTCGAAAACGCTCGCCTGAACACGTAACTAATCAACCACCCATGACGCTGTTATATCATCTCCCATACCTACCAGACGCAGGGTCTGTGCGAGTTGTACGGCTCTCGCGAGATTAAGCGGTAGGTTTTGCACTTTTACGTTTCCGGTTATATCTCAGAAACTAATCGATCTACGATGAAGCCATTTTACACGATCATGGCCGGCTTGTTACCCAACAAGTCTATCGCATCTTCAACACTCAAATGCTTAAGACGACGAAGATATAGCCTGAAGTACACTAAATTTTATAGGTGCAAAACCTACCATTAAAACCCGCGAGGCCTGTACATACTGTGACGCCCGTTACCCCTGGTCTGTTCTCAGGCGGCCCAGTCCGAGGCCGCTGGCGACATGAGTGACGACACGTCCATCTCGTCGGACACGGCTGGCACCCGAAAACCCCTCAAGCTCTGGGACGTTCACCGCAACAACAAACTGGGCATGGTGGCTGGCTCTCTGAAGGAATTCGTCACCAAAGGTAAGCGCCAGTCGCCAGTCGTCCTTGCAATTTGGCATATGGATGGTTTCTACATGTTCAATTAAGTGCAACATCAATGCGAAGGTAATTATCACTAGCGAAGGGAATGTGCAGTGTGTCCTAAGCGTGATGCTTTTCTCATAGATGTGAAGTTGAAAAAACGATGCGTTGTTGATTGTTTTGTTTTGTTTTGTTTGGTTTTGTTTTATCGTCCTAAACGGTATAACGGAATTTTTTAAAGGGACCCTCCCACCTTAACATTAGATTTGAGTTGAGATAGCCAAAATGGGGTCCCTGGCTCACTATTACCGGTTTCGGCACTCACAACATCGAGAAATGCCTTAAATCGGAAATATTGAATTTCAAAATTGCAGCATTTTGATTCAGAGGGGCTAATGCATAGGAATACCCCTCTGAATGTGTGACGTCAGCGCAGATATCTAACGATTTTTAAATGTTTGACTAAAACGTTTTGTAGCACGCGGTGGTATACGCTGCTTTGCGCGCAACAAGTGCCGCACTTTCAGCTGCCAAACTATTGCTTTGAAATAAAGTCGCTAGGAACAGCGGAGATCCCAAAAAGTAAACAAAAGTAAAAGTCTAATATCTTGAAAACCGGTGAATATTTTTCGGTGAAATTTGGTAGATATTCGTTTTCGCTCTTTCTGAACCGAGCGACATCACTTTCATGCCAATTCATAAACGTTTTTGAAGGTGGGAGGGTCCCTTTAAAGGGACCCTCCCACCTTCAAAAAAGTTAATGAATTGGCATGAAAGTGATGTCCCTTGGTTCAGAAAGAGCGAAAACGAATATCTACCAAATTTCACCGAAAAAATATTCACTGGTTTTCAAGATATTAGGCTTTTACTTTTGTTTACTTTTTGGGATCTCCCCTGTTACTTGCGACTTTATTTGGAAGCAATAATTTGGCAGCCTTAAAGTGCGGCAGACGTTGCGCGCAAAGCAGCGTATACCACCACGTGTTAACGATGGTTTTAGTCTAAGATTTAAAAATCGTTAGATCTCCGCTGACGTCACAAATTCTAAGGGGGCATTCCAATGCATTAACCCCTTAGAATCCGAAAACTGCAAGTTTGAAATTCCATATCTTCGAATTAAAGCATTTTTCGATGTTGTGAGTGCCCAAACCGGTATTTGCAGGCCATGGCCACCAATTTGGCTATCTCAACTCAAAACTAATGTTAAGGTGGGAGTGTCCCTTTAAGTCAGTTTATTCCGACTAGATTGTTTAATTTGGTTTTAGTGGGCAATGGCAGAACTGCCAAGCAGTTTCAGCTACAGCAGCGTCCAGGTTTTTTGACAGTCGGAATTTATGAGAATAATAATTATGCAGCACATTACGAATGTGAACCCAAACAATCAATGCCGAGTAACCTTGGATCGCACTTCGCGCCTTCATTACTCGCACCCTCGATGTCTCGATCGCTGTAACAGATTACTAGGTCCCTCGGTGCATGTGTGATTATTAGTTTGGCCCAGTGTTTATTGTCCTTGTCCGGTTGGTACGCCGATCCCAGCCAGTGATCCGGCCGGGGTCGTGAGGTCGCTCTGTGGACGCCTAGAATGGCTCACTGGGGCGCCGCTGAACTGTTCTGCCTCTCTCTGTAATGCCGGGCCTGTTCGTGTTGTTGCGGTTGTGGGACGGGTCACCACTGTCTTCTGTTTGTGTTGTTCTAGGGAAGGCCCGGCTCGGGATCCCCGAGACGGCACCCGTGCGACTCGTACTGGAGGTGGACGGCACGGCCGTCGATGACGAGGAGTACTTCAGCACACTGGAACCGCACACGGTCCTGATGCTGATCCCGCCCGGACACCGCTGGACCGACTCGAAAACGTTCGAATAGTGAGTGTTGAACAGCACGGGAGTAACAAATACCAAGCCGGCTCAATAACTTTAGCTGTTCTCCTTTTAATCATAAAACGACCGGGAAAAGGTGCTCAATTCGAGTAGCCAGCTTGGAAGTCTGGTTCAGCGAGACTGCTCCAGCGACTCAAACGAGAGGCACTGTGCAGCGAGCTGACAGCGCATTGACAGACAGGAAGCGCCGTGAAGGTCTCGTCTGAGGAGGCCGAAAAACTGTCGGCAGATCCGCCCAGAGTTTACTGTTAACGACAGGAAGGGAGACATACCTTCCCAACGCACAACACCGCTTAGCATGCGGAGATGCAGTCTCCCTTTTTCGTTCCACGTCCTCATTAGATATATTACAGTTTACACCCTGTACCGAAACACTTTTCTTCTGACGATGCCTGAACAGAACAAGACTGGCGTCTCCTCTCCCATGCTCAGCCCCGTTCGATGTGGGCAACCCTAGCATCTCCCACCCCCATGTAACATGTTTCCCCGTCTCTTGTGGACAGATTCGCGCGATGCCCACGTGTTGGTTGAGCCCCTCCTCTCGTCCTTCGTTGACCGGCCTGTCGTCGCCGTCCCTTGTGGACGGACCTGGTATCGCTGCCCCATATCCGTCACTGGTCTGACCTCGGCGGCTTGCGACGGCCGGCTGGCTCTAGACGCTAATGTTTATCGTCTGCTGGTCGTCGGTAAACATTTCGGCTAATTCTGATGATCTGACGAGCTGCAGATGACCCGTTGGACCACCTCGCTTGATCTGCTGTCTCTGTTTGGAATAACGGTCAGCGCTGTGTGATATATTCAAACCACTCCTGTATCTCAGCGGTCAGCACTGTTCGGTCCTGTCCTCAGTCCTGGCATGTCTGTCCTGTCCTGTCCTATCCTATCCTATTCTGTCCTGTCATATCTTGTTCTGTCCTCAGTCCTGTCCTGTCCTGTTCTATCCTGTCTTGTCCTGTCCTGTCCTGTCCTGTCCTGTCCTGTCATGTCCTGTCATCAGTCCTGTCCGGTCCTGTCCTGTCCGGTCCTGTCCTGTCCTGTCCTGTCCTGTCCTGTCCTGTCCTATCGTATCTCTATGCAGGCACACAGGGCGCTTGTTGGGCGTCTTGTTACGTTTTGATTAATGAAACAGGATACCCCGCATGTCTTCTTTGAGTATCAAAATGACTTTTGCACCATTCTTCCCTGCCAGACATCGACCTTCCGGTTTCTTTCAGTCTCCAATTACGCGGGAATGAGTTAATGATCGCTGCCCATTCTCAGCCATCACTGCCTATTGGCGACCTGACCCAGTGTCCCATTTGCAGTGCACTAAATTGGAATGAGTCTAGTGCAGATGGGTGGTTAGGCCTATTAGCTCATCTGTATTGAACTGCAGAAGAAAGTTAGCACGGATGGTAAATTGCTGGGTCAAGTATCACGTTTTTAAGGAACTGGACGACGATTCAGTGGCGTAGGACTTTCTAGGGGGTCCACATTTGTCCGTGGATTCCGTTTTTGTAAAGAGAATGCTAAGGAAAGTGGCGACAATGGGCTTACATGAATCAGCTGGTATGGGTTCTTCAGCAGACAGAGCTATGTCACAGTGCACTGCCTCTGTCAGCAGGGCTATGTCAGAGTCTTCTCTCCCGACAGGACGGTCTGGGGACTGTCTCAGAGCTCCGAGGGCTGTCTTGGAACTGTCTCAGAGCTCCGATGGCTGTCTTGGGACTGTCTCAGAGCTCCGAGGGCTGTCTCAGCTCGCCAGCGGAAGGTTGTCAGGGCTTATGTGGCAATCAGGGTTGTCACGGCCGGCGCCGGTTGCCAGTCACGCGAGCTGAGCGGGTTGGTGGTTCTCGGTAGCAGCGAGGTCGTCTGTCGAGGAACGGTCTGCCGCTGTCCGTGACAGGACCACGAGTATACATAATCGGGGGCGTTCTGCCGCTTCGGCGGCTCTGGTGGGCGACCTTATCGGGTGCATCGCCGCCACTGTGCCGTGCAGGCGCCTGCACCGTGCACCGGGCAAAATGGCAACCGCGACACGAAATGGCGGATTCTGATCCATTTCTCAGTCTGGGCATAGCCTTCAAGTATTGATAAATCGACATTATGCGATACTTGAGTCCTTAAGGACAGTTGCATATATTCTTTCAAGTTTTGTCTATGCTTTGGTCTAAATTCATCCGGTTAAAAATGTCATAAGTAGGCTATTTTAGTTCCCAAATGAGTCACTTGTGGAGGAATGCGTTGCCTTCCGGAAGAATGCAAAGAATGCAGCCACCTCTGGCAGAGGCCAATCGTCAGCTAATCAGCATACAGTTGGTTTTGAACTATACGCAATATGGTTGGTCAACGCGTTATAAGCTTCCCCTGCAAACATAATTTAGCCTCTACCATATAGATGGAAAAAAGTTATTCGTAGGTACATGAAAATATTTTAAAAGTTCCTTTCGTACCTAAATATTAATTGTTTTCTTTTCTGTTCATTTTAGGCATTAAAAATCAGAAGCCGGCAGGGGCGCAGGAGCTACTTTCAGAGGGGGGGGGGGCACACCATAATAGAGATCAACCTAGGGTACCCCCAAATCTAGTTTTCTTACCGGTTTTTAGGCCACATATTTTTCAATCCTTAGCTTTTTCAACAAAAAAGAAAACATTTGCATAAAAAAGTGTGGTATTCCGTCTCAAAGTTGTGGGGGCAACGCCCCCACGGCTCCAGAGTTGTGGGGGCAAGCTACCCGCACTGCCCCCCCCCCGGTTCTCGCACCTATGCAAGCCGGTAACAAAAAAAGCTAATTTGAGGGAAGTGGTATATTTCTTTTAAAGTCGCAACTGTTTAGAACAAACTCGTGCTCTGTCTGAACTCCTGCAGTGTGGTCTAGCGCCTGCCCATTTTAAGACTCATTGATCCTGATTCGTTCTGAAGGCCTCGCTCGGTGCTTCGGTAGCTGACAACCTGGCAAGGTCAGGAGTTATACTTCGCCGCTTGCAGCAGCGGCGATGGATATTTATACGGCCGATGGGATGTCCAGTCGTGGCCGAGTGTCGTCAGACAACAGAGGCTGGGTCGAGCTGCTGTCGTTTGCGTGGACATTACATCGGCTCTTTATTAGTGCAACTGGGGCAGTGGGGCATTTAGTCAGTACCTATGCCAGCGTTCCTGGGGGGAGGGGCAAGAATGAGATCATCAATCATTTTTTTACATTATCTTTCATATGTTAGTGAACATAGGTATGAAAGATATGTAGTCATATGTTAGTGCCTTGGGATCATCAGTCAGTTTCATTATTCGACAAAAATGAAAAAGCACACTAGACATAGAAGCAAAATTGATGATGGCTTAGCAGATCATCATTGCTATCATGCCTTATATGATAGGGATGCTGTATGCGCCATATCTTGGTCGCGAATGTCGTGTTCCTGAAGGGCCAGTTCTTCGGTAAGATCCATGTTGACTGGGTGGGCTGAAGGAGAGTGGACAGTGCCATTCACGCTGTCCAGGATCTACATTAGCCGTTTTCACGAAGTGCATCTGGTACACATTTGGTGCAGATTAGGTGCAGATTTGGTCAAATCATGCTCGTTGTATTTCTTAAAAGTTATCAGAAGTATCAGACATTATTTCGATTAAAACACTGAAATAAATTCATGATGTGAAGAAATTTGCTGTAAAAGGGGAGTTGCTGCAGATTTGGTCAAGTTAGGTGCATTCGCCAGATAGCCCGTCGTGAAAACGGTTTGTGTGACCCCCGCTGACCTCCGTGTCTTCCTCCAGTACGGTGCAGATTGGAGACGAGCCAGACGCGTGCGGCAGTGGCGGCGCGGCGGCGGCGCGTCGCAGTCACCTGCTGCACCGTCTGCGCGCCGATCCCGGCTACATCGCGCTGCTAGGTGGCACCGACCTGGAGCTGCTCGGCGCGCTGACGCCCGACCAGGCCACCGGCTACGACGCCCAGTTCGTGGCCGACATCCAGGAGGCTAGCTGCCGCTACCTGGATGGCCGGCGCGACGTCGAGGAGGCGCTCAGCTTCCTCAAACACTGCAAGAAGGGTGGGAACTGAGTCCAGGCGCCGACCGGGCGGGGAGAGCTCAACAACCGCTCCAGCGCTGCGTTCAATGTGGATGGAGTGTGCGTGGCGCACTGAGCTGGCCGAGCCAACTGGAGTGTCGTTGGTTAGGGCTGAGGAATGGCTGAGCCCGAGGAATCGCTAGGCGCGGTGATACGCTTGCTTTCATTTCATGTGTTTTTACGCCATCCTTGCCCATTTATATTCATGGAATGTATTTGTATGGACATTCATGCTTCTTTTGTAAGTGTTTTGTTACATCACACATCCTTTTATGTATTTGGTTGTCTGATACCTCCTTGGTGGGTCAGGTTATGTCACCAGATGTAGCTTACCTGACTATCATAGTTGTAACTTTCACGAGGCTGGAGCTGTCTCGCGTCTTATTTTCTGTATGTCACTCCTTCCCTTCCCTAACTCCTCTGTTGGCAGTCCTGTCTGCCACTCATCCGTGTGCCGTTTGAGCGTCGTTCTGTGGTCGTCACCGGCCACTGGGGCAAGTTGTGCTCCTTTGGTGTCCTGGAGGAGGTGCTCGTATTCGGTTACGATGGACTGCTCTGTGGTGGCTCTGTGACGTGATTCTTACCTTTGCTCAGAGGGTTCTTGTTCGGGACGTGACATGAGTGACGTCTACGACACGTCTGGAGGCTCACAGTTTGTAAGGGGCGGCGTTTCTACGTTTTCTAAAAATGATCTCGGACTGAGTAGTTAGCTAAGTAGCTAGGTATTAGATAGGGGTGGCCAAAATGGTCCTACCCTTTTGATGTTCGTGTCATGTTGGTTACACTGCTCTGGCTGATGGTCGTGAGTAACGTCTCAGCCTCTGTCATCGTGTCGATCCTTGTTCCCGGTGTTGTATGTACCAGCTCTTCCGTTTTCCCGTGGGGGACGCTGTCTGACAGCCTACTGCGGTCTGCCGCACGCATGTTTGTAGATGTTCATTACAAATATACTGTCTGACGACAAACACTTCAGTTTCAATGAAGTATAATGTGTCAGGGGAAAAAGGAATTCCTGCCATTATTTGCTCACAATTATCTCATCAGAAAAATGAAGCCGTCAGGTGCCAGCCTCTTCAAATGGTCTCCTCCATAACGTGGTCTTCGAAGTCAAAGACCGATCTAAACGTCTTTGGCTTTTACGTTTGCATGTTTGTCGTCTGTTGTGAATTGTTCCCACTCCAGAGGCGATTTGATAGGGACTGATTTTGTTTTGGATGGAGACCTTGCCAATCATATTTTAGCCACCCTCTAGTTAAATAGCGATGATGATGGCCCTCTAGACTTGGCTGGTCCGGTCTCTCCCCCTCCCCATTGAATTTGGATCCACCAGTGGGTTCAAACCATATTGGAAACATCCGGGCCATGTGATTAGGTACTCACCAAAAAAAAAAAAAAAAAAAAACGAGACGTGTCTCTTATTCCTAATTGTTTGCTGCTGTCGGAGAACAGGTCGTTTTGTCTCAAACTGAGTTTCAGGAAAGGTTCAAATAAGAAAATTGTTAGTTGCCGAAAAGTGAATGGTTATTTCAAGTGACGGCACGTCGGGAATGTTTGTAATCGCATAACCATATTCGACACCGATATGGAGCGCAGTATCAGTGGTTTTTGAACTTCAAGTGCGAGAGTCAGAGTGAGTGAGTGAGTGAGAGAGAGAGAGAGAGAGAGAGAGAGAGAGAGAGAGAGAGAGAGAGAGAGAGAGAGAGAGAGAGAGAGATATTTCCTCACTCTATTGACATTTGACCTCCACTATCTTTCCCCTCTTATCTCCTGCCTCTGCTATCTCCCTATCTCTCTATCTCGTGTATCTCTCCCCTAGCGTGGGTTGAGCCAGTCCGACACCGCTGACCCTCTCCAGACTCGCCGTTGGCGGACCGTGTTTCATTGCCCCTCCCCTCCCCTCCCCTCCCCTCCCCTCCCCTCCCCTCCCCTCCTGCGGCCTCGCCCGCCCGCTCTCACCACCAGCCCACGGCGCTTTGTTCGCGGCACACGGTGCGCGGAACGGCCCTACACGCGAGCGGGCCCGGCTGAAGGCTATTCGTCCGGTCGGCCGCGAGGGCAGCACTCAGTCGCTCTCCTCAGACGGAGTGAGGTCGAGGCGCACGCGCGCGGCGGACGCGGAGCTCGTGGTGTCTGGAAGGGGCTCACTTTCTGGCTAGTCGCGGGCAACCGCGCTCCCAGCCGCCAAGATGTTTGATATTTTTGGATCGGTGCAGGGCCTGTTGAAGATCGACACGGTCTGCATCGATAACAACATCTTCCGTCTGCACTACAAGGCGACCGTGATCCTGCTGGTCGTGTGCTCGCTGCTGGTCACCTCGCGCCAGTACATCGGTGACCCGATCGACTGCATTGTCGATGGCGTTCCCGGCAATGTCATGGACACCTACTGCTGGATCCACTCGACCTTCACGGTGCCCCGCGCCCTGACCAAGGCGCAGGGCGAGACCGTGCCGCACCCCGGCGTGGACACCGTGCAGGAAGGCGACGAGATCAAGTACCACAAGTACTACCAGTGGGTGTGCTTCGTGCTCTTCTTCCAGGCCATCCTCTTCTTCGTGCCCCGCTACCTGTGGAAGATCTGGGAGGGCGGCAAGTGCAAGATGCTGGTCATGGAGATGAACTGCCCCATCATCGACGAAGACGCCAAGCGGGATCGTAAGAAGCTGCTGGTCGACTACTTCCAAATGAACCTGCACAACCACAACTTCTACGCCATTCGTTTCTTCTTCTGCGAAGTGCTCAACTTCGTCAACGTCATCTGTCAGATGTACTTTACCGACATGTTCCTGGGTTACGAGTTCACGACGTACGGCTCGCGCGTGGTGCACTACGCCAACATGGACCAGGAGGACCGGCCCGACCCGATGGCCATGGTGTTCCCCAAGGTAACCAAGTGCACGTTCCACAAGTACGGAGCCTCCGGCACCGTGCAGCGCCTCGACGGCCTGTGCGTCCTGTCGCTCAACATCATCAACGAGAAGATCTTCGTGTTCCTCTGGTTCTGGTTCATCATCGTGGCGGTGGTGTCTGGTCTGTCGCTGCTGTACCGCCTGGCGGTGGTGGTCTCGCCCCAGGTGCGGCTCTACCTGTTCCGTGCCCGCGCCCGCCTCGCACCCCCAGAACAGATTGAAACGATCGCCCGCAAGAGCCAGATCGGCGACTGGTTCCTGCTCTATCAGCTGGGAAAGAACATGGACCCGCTCATCTACAAGGAGTTCATCAACGATCTCTCACGTCGTTTCGAGGGCAAAGACGTCCAATAGTAGCAGCATCAGCCCTGAGGGCGTCTTTGTTAACAGCGGCCCTACCTAGGGGCGGAGGGGAGGGGCCGTCCGGTGTTCCAACACCGGCACCGACAGCGACGTGCCACCTCCAACACCGTGTGATAGTCCGGCCACCGGCGCGTGGGCACTGACGCCACGTGATCACGTGCGCGAGTCATGTGCCCACAGGAGCCTGGACTGACCTTGTCACGTGCGCGCTGAGCTTGGGTGTTGAGGCACCTCCGTGTGTGGCAGGAATGGGTGTGTTACTGTATCTCAGAAACAGGCGCGGCTCGATAACGCGATCCGCCCGACACTGACAATAGTTTTGTATTCATATCGCATCTCATGACGCCGAACTGCCGCCGCTGATACGTCGGTCTCGGCACGGGGAGATTAGCGTGCTGCGTCCACGCCGGCCGACCGGCGACTTTTTTTAGCTCATACGAAGCCGAGTGCTTGCTGGTTTTAGGGGCCAAGTGAATGACTATTTTGTGGAAATAAACGAAATCACTGAAAACCTGTCTTTTCAGCCGAAAGGAGGCAGAACCGAACACGGTCTGTGTTGACAATCGCACTTCGCCAAACATAACACGGTAAACGTCATCCCACACATAGTACAGTAGTTACGCTGTAGTTAGATAGGTCTGCTGATTACTTAACGCTTGATTAGGTACACATCACTTTAACCCATAGGCGGCGGAACGGGGAGGGCACCGGGGCACCGTGCCCCCTTTTATTTTGGCATTTTAACATTAGCCCCATTAGCGTCGCCACGGGGGGGGGGGCAAGCGGGGCAGCTTGTCCCCCCCCCCAACCTCGGACCGGGCACCCCCTGAGATCGATGCAGATCCGATGAAATTTTGGAGTCGGGGAAAAATGGGGGTACCTTTCTGAGAATGCCTGTGAGGTCAGACTCGGCTGGAGCGTGCAGTTCAAACCAGAGTCGGAGTCGCAGTCGCCAAAATCTTCTCCGACTCCAGACTCGGAAATATCAATGTCATGATTCATTCCTTGTTCCTAGTTTGCCCTTGATCACATTTTAGCCCTCGCCGGACCTATTGGTTTTCTACATAGGTACGCGACGGCCGATGGGGGGTACGACCCCCCTCGCCGTTTCGCCCCTGGTGGAGCTAGCGCGTCGCGGAAAAAACGAGCGTGTGCGCCGTTACGAGACGCAGAGATCGGTACCCGATTTTAACCCGCGCCGGGCCGGGGGGGGGGGGGTGTTTGAACACACACCCCCCCCCCCTCTGTGGTTTTTCGCAGATATCTCAAAAACGGCGGCGCTCCCGCCGTTTTTGGCACACCTGTTTGTGCATCTTTTCCGTACATGTGACAATTTCAAACCCAGGTCACCTTAGGTCAGGTCACCAGGTCACACCAAGTTACCTCACCTCAGAAAAAATAAGAATCCTCGTCATAGCTACACCGATTGATCGATTGCCTTGAAATTTTCAGCGATTGATTAGAGCAACATTATCTATAAAATGTATATCTCGGAATTTTGATATCGGTGACCTAAGGTCAGGTCAATTTTGCGACCCCTCCATTATAAGTCAATGGGAGAAAATTGAAAAGCGTCTGTTTTGCACGAACGCTATTCTAGACACTCTCAAACATCGAGATGTAGGTAAAATGGACACACTGAACCGGAAAATGGCAACTGTGACCCCTCGTTCTGTCCCCGAGGTCATCTCAGGTCACGAACAGAATCTAACAGTTTTTCGCTAATAACTTCTGATAGAGACGTGCTAGAGCGCTGAAAACGCCTTAGATGTGTTCGGCTCGACGTTGCGGATCGACTGATATGCAACATGACCTTTTCCGGTCAGGTCATGACCTTGACCTGAGGTCAAATTTTCAAGTTGACCTTTCAAGGTCAAATTTTAGTTCATTCGACGCGTCTCGACGAGAGGAACACGATGGTGGCAACAGTAATGTCATGACTTTTTTTAGTCAAAAGCTATTGCCGAAAAAAACGTTTTTCGTGAAAACGGCTATTTTTGGAGTTTTTGCCCTCTGGAGGCTAAACCGTTGACCTGAGGTCAAATATAAGAACATTACTCAGAAAGGTCTGTTAAAGGGCTATCGAATGCGCTTTTCCGCGGCGCTGTAGCTCTATCGGTTCCCGAGATAGCCGTTGGCAGTTTCCAAGATGTTGAAATAGTGGACATTTGACCTTTGGTGACCGCTGGTGACCTGACCTTTGACCTGACCCAAAAAATGACCGAAGTGTTTTCGTCCTTATTTTGGACGTTCTTTCGATTGCCGCTTACCACGTGTCGCTACGTGGCCCAAGAGCCGAGTTAAAAGGGGGGTGTTCAGACACCCCCCCCCCCCGGCCCGGCGCGGAATCTCAGAGCACCGGCCCGGCGCGGGTTAAGGTCCTAGGTCAACCGGTGACCTCTGTGGTCAGGTCAAGTGCCCCAAGGTACGGTTTAGTTTTTGGTGAATAGCTTCGCAAAAAACGGCCGCAGAGCAGCGATTTTGGTAGCATCGTGGTCGCCTTGCTCAGGCGCGTCGAATGATATACTTTTTGTTTGGGTCAGGTCAACGTAGGGTGTTGACCTTAGGTCACGGTCAGGTCAGCACCCCAGGTCACGAAGTTGGTCAAAAGAGGTCATGTCGCATATCATTCGATTCGGCAGGTCTTCCTGAGTCCAGTGGTGGCTTTTCCGACACGCTATCTCAATTTGATCGGGAGTTATTGACGAAAAACTAATATGACCTTGATGACGTCATAAATGACGTCACGCAAGGTCAACATTGGAAAATTGACGCATCTAACCTTGCAAGGAGTGCATCAAATCACGATTCTGTGTGCTTGAGATAGTTAGAGATCGTTCCCGGCGCCAGAATAGCAGTTTTCATTTTTCTCCATTGACTTATAATTGTAAGGTCACGAAAATGACCTGACCTCATATGACCGTTAGAAAAATCCGAGATATACGAGTTGTGAGACTCATAATGGATACTAGATCCTGCAAGTTTCATTTCCCTGTGACATCTCCTCTGGCAGTGAGGGCGTTCCGAATTTGCGACATCTGAAGACCGTGCAGAGGCTTACTTATGACGTCATAGGTCAGTGACCTGACCTGACCCAAAAATGCGGTTGGTGTCAAAAGATCCGGCTTGAATCAAAGGTCATGTATGATGTATGAGAAGTTTCAGCTCTCTGTCGCCAGCGTGTTCGGAGCTATCACGAAAAAAACTATGGGGGGGGGGCGGCACCCACCCTCCCCCCGGCCGGCGAGGGTTACGTTTCCTAAAGATGTTAAGGACCCTACGCGAACTACGCTGAGACTTAAAGAGACAATGACCTCATAATGGCGCATGGTTTAACCCTTTGCGGCCGAGGGAGCGAGCGCTATTCGCCTCTGGCGGTTTTCTCGCCATTGCTCGGAAAGTAATTGGCAATAGAGCGCTGAAAGATGTTGCAACTTATCTTTGATTTATCTTTTGACACCAAACGCACTTTCACACCAGTCGATCTTTACCGAACTATGGCGTTATGGATGAACCTATGCAAGTTTAAGAAATATCGCCACTGCGAAACGCCACTCATGTTGTTACAACTATATTTGTCAAAGTTTTTGCCCGTACCTGAAACTCGCCTCATAGTTCAGGTCGGTAACGTGACCTCGCCACCATAAGCCAATGAGGAAGCATTGAAATTTATTTTCATGCAGCCGGGAATGATGACTTTCTCAAGCACATATAATTATAATTTCATACATTTCTTGCAAGGTCTGATGGTTAAGTTTTGCATTTTGTACCTTGCGTAACATTATAAAGACATTACGTCATTTATGACGTCACTTAGGGCACTTGAAATCCGAATTCTTCGTTAGATAATAGCCCCCGGAAAAACTGAGTTAGCGATTGGAAAGGCACTATGTACCAGTAGGCAATAAATTCAGAATGAGCTGTCACATCGACTAATACCTTTGCTGTATGATTTCAATTGACCAACTTCGTGACCTGAACGAGTTTGTCCTGATCTTGACTTTCGGCCAGCACCCAAGTTGAACTTTTCAAAATATCAGCATATCATTCGACGCGAATGAGCAGGACAAACAAGATGGTGCCAAAATGACGGCTCTGCGACCATTTTCGAAATACAGTGACCGAAAACCGGGCCTCTGTCTCGGGGCATTTGAACTCGCGGTTCACCTCACCGGTATATAATTTTGCTTGAAAGAGGTCAAATTAAGGTGCTGACCTCAGGTCAAAGTCACGTCAAAACCGCTCAGGTCAAGAAACTGCTTAAAGGAGGTAATAGGTATTAGCCGTTTTCACGACAGATTGTTGCCCTCCTTGTGGTTGCCCTCCTTGATCATATTGCCCCCCTTGTGGTTTTCCTGAGTAACAGGAAAACGGCGGCGGGCGGCCGCCAAATTTTCAGTACCTTCCCAGGCACCAATTTGACACCTTCGTACAAAATTTCAAGCATTAGGTCACCTAAGGTCAGGAGTTATTGAGGTCAAACTGAGGTCATGTTTGAGCAAAAATGAGCAAAAAACATGAAATCTTGAAACGCTCACAAAACCCAAGTTAACAAGCAATTTCAAAGTTCTTTATCAGGTCGTGTAGAGAAAAGACGGTGCTACAAAACTGCTATCTCGGATGTTCAACATTTTGTGATTTTGACCCCCCAAAATAAAAGAAATTGATTTTTTAGAAAAACGGAAAAAAACAACAGTTTTTTCAAAGTTCGAAAAAACGGTATATATATGATAGTCCCTGTGCTATTCTATCTACATAACAAACTCTAGATCGATGCCTCCTCTTCTGGTCAAGTTATAGCGAAAAAAAAACTTCAAAATTGATGACGTCAAATTTTTAAACTCAACTTTAGCAATTATATACCACTTAGCGCAAAACAAAGACCACCATTAGACTCTCCATGACTAGCTGCATCGATACTCATTTTACGTAAAATACCTATCAAGTTTAAAATGTGACATAATCGCGTAATCACATTTGTCATAATCGCATTTGTCATGTAAAATGGACCAACATGCATCACATGATATTTTCATATTGTGACCCTCAGTGAACTGACGTCTGTGGCCTGACCTGGTATCAGTGACCTCAGATAGCAAAATATGTGTTTGAAGAACAATTCGTCATCGATGATTTTCAATGACATACATTTTACTCGATTTTACAACGCATTTCTGGAAATGGCTGTAAAGCGTGAAAATTCGACATTTGACCTAACTTGTGACGTCATCGGTTTGACCGAGGTCAATGAATTTGGGTCGCAAGGTAGTTTCCCGTTGGGGTTACCTAACACCGTTTGCTGTGCTGCTTGTTGCTATGTTGCGTGGTTTTCGGGATCTTAGAGGGGCCAAAATGCCCCCCCCCAACGCGGCGCGTTGCTCGGCCCCAACAGGGCGCGGGTTAACATAATTTGGCCAAATTGCACCAAATGTAGCAAATGTGTGCCATGAGATAACCGTTGTGAAAACGGCTATTGCATATCGCTCGATTAGCTAGTTTCCCTAAGTCCAT